TGCATGTCCAGCCTCTGTGCTGCATCAGCTCCTTGCCAGATGGACCCTTGCTGAGTTTAACATAGGAAAAAAATAAAGATTTCAAAGACCAGTGGCCCAGTAGGATTCAGAACACACTGAGAGTCTTTAGGTCAGACTTCCTTTGGCTCCAGACAGGATTTGACGTGCTGACTCAGTCTTCTGAATGAATGATGTTTCTGCCTCCCTTCAGCCCTCCTGCTTTGTGTGCACCTCCTTGGGCTTTCAAAAGCCTCGAGATTTCTCCGAGGGGCCCAAAAAGGAGCTGAGGAAAATAGGGCAGACTTTGTGCCCTGTCCTATGGAATAGGGCACACACAAACTCCAATTCCCACACACGTTTATTGTTGTTGGTTTCTCCTCTGAGCTGTGTCCCCTGGATCTGAAATGAAACTGGTGTAATTGGATGCACCACCATAGTGGCCAATGACAAACAGCATTTTTCTGAAAGCATTTTTCCCCCTGTTGCTGAGAGATTACATCTGATGTTATAGACCAGCATCGCTCCCAGTTGGTACCACCACTAATTTACCCTTCTGGAAAAGCTTCTTGTTATTGCAGCTTGTTCACTGCAGCCATCGAGGTGAAATTATTTCTTTCAAGCTAGGATAAAAAAAAGAAGACAGAATTTTTGTCTCGTGTTGTCCAATATCTCAAAACCTTTGGAGAAAAATGAGAGAGAGATCCAGACCAAGAGGGCGAGAAAACTCATTATCATTTTTAAGATAAGAGAGAAGCAAGGGAAGCAGGGTATTGGTGGGGAACTGAGGGGTGCAGGCAGCCCAGGGCATGTTGACCATGTTCAGAATGGGTTTATGTCAGGAAACCTTGAATTATATAGTGCAAAGTGGGATTTGTGTAGGAATTTCCCTGACCACAGTGGAGATTTCAGAGGAAAGAAACCAAAGTTCATCAAAAATATCTCAGTGAGTTGGTGAATCTGCATTGGGATATTTTGGGAGAGGGCAGGGGTGATGTAACTGCATTTAACTGTCCTTAATGTCACCTTCCTTTATCCAAAGAAAAACTTTTCTCTCTCCCTACACATTCATGCTTATTTGCACTGCTCTTTTCCTCCCCTGGATACCTGGAATCAATATCAGATGTTTGTAGGAATTATCCAGCCATGGCTATATCTTGCTCAGAAATCTATTCCTCCCCTAGGCACTGTTTTGGTGGTAACTATCCCAAACCAGTGGGGTGCTCAGACCAAAGCTTGTGTCTGGTTTAAATCTTGGAGTCCTCCTGCAGAACAGGGGCAGCAGGAGACCACCAACTATCTGAAAATAAAGTCAGATCAGGATCCAAACTGGAAAGCTGCTTCTCTGGTTTAGCACTGCTGCCATCTCAAAGCCCTCTCTGCCTCCTGTGCCTCCCTCCAATTTGGGGTACAGCCCCAGGGGGGCTGATTTTCAATCTCAGCCTCCACCTGGACCTTTCCCCATGGCCCAGGGCATCCCATCCTGGCTTGGGGGCTAATAATCCCAGAGGCACCATCCTCATCAGGCTGGATGGGAGGAGGGAGTTATGTTTGTTGGGTTTTTTATGCTTCTTTACAGGGGAGAACAAGGGCTGTGGGAATACCAAATGCCTGTGAGCCCTCCTGTCAGACTAGTCTTGTTAAAGTTTGAAGAATTGGCCAATTTCAATGCAATTTGACAGACTTCAAAAGAGCTTCAAAAGGTAATAGATTTCTGAAAAGCTCTGCAAAAATAGCTGGGCAGGTGAAGGAGGCTGAGGGAAAACTTACAGCATGAATTTGCATCTTGAGGGTTGTAAAAATATCTGCTTGGGTGCTTTCCATAGGAAAGTAGGACCTGGTAATTTTCCTAGTTATGAGGGAGCTGAAGTGTGTGAGACTGTTTTTCAGCTCAAAGAAAGGGGGGAGCTGGGGGTTTGGATGTTCTTGGTGTCCCATGCCTGAGGGCCTAGGGGACAATTGGAGGTAACCTAAAATAAGGTGGACATTTATAGGAAGAAGAATCAAGAAGGAACAAGACCACGTTCATTAGGACTTGAAGGAAATAATGGCAGTATCCAGTTCTAGAAGAAAATTATTAATCCACAGTTCTATAAAACTTCCTGTCCAAGGGCACTGTGATACCTTCGTAGAAAGTTGGTGGATACCTCCATCACCTTCTTTTACAAGTGCAGAAGTGGAGAAACCAGGGCAGGGGAAGTCTGTGCCAGGACCAGACATGATCTCTGATTCTTCTGATTCACATTTCTGAGCCTGTCCTGGCACACTTCATTTTCTCGTGGTCAAGGAGAAGCCAGGGGAAAAGCAAACGAGAAAGATGTTGGTAACTGTCATTTCCCATGAAAAGCTTGAGTGGTATTGTCTATTTTTATAATAGGTGTTGTAGAAAGTCTGCCAGGATCGATTTCCAAACTGTAGAATCAGGGAATCCCTGACATCTCTAGGTCAGGTGTTCCAAAGGTTAATAATTTCTATTCAAAACAACCCTTTGCTTCTTACAGAGTGTCTTGGGGTGGGGAACGGAGGCACAGCTCTGCTTTCCTTGGTTCTCTTTGCTTTGCTGACTGCTAAAGCCGAAATTTCTTCCAGAGCCTCTGCATACTGACAGTGTGGCTGCTATATTTAATATTGCTCCCAAACGTCCAGGCAGGCAGGTGCTGACCTTCACACCTGGCTAAATTAATCTGCTCTGCACTCCCTGCTCCATCAGGAGGCCTCGTGCAGAAGCCACACGGTGGGGCTGGCAGGAGCCTCCCGGGGGAGTGTTTTGCAAGCTAAAAAAGAAAGTTTAAAACCATCGGGATGTCTCTCTGTCTGGGGAAGAAAATCTATCAGCGATTATACTGAGCCTTGTTCCCAATCAGCCCGAGGCACGGGGGAATTGTGCGCTCCTGTGATTTAATCAAGGCGGGCTCAGCGAGGTCCTGCCGCTCCTCGGGGGCCGGGATGCTGCTCCCTGTGCCGGGTACGGCAGCGGGAGCAGGGCCAGCGCATCCCCCGAAGGCAGCAACGCGGGGCCTGGGTAGATAAACTCTGAAAAATGGTTACAGTCCGTACCCTGCTTAGCCTCTCCATCCATGGAACGGCTGGCTAATAACAGACAGATCCTCGAATCGCTACTGAAGGTGGTGTGAGGGAGCTGCTGCACTCTGCTGACTTTCAATAATTGGTGAAGCAGTGGCAATACAGTTTGTGCACTGCCGTGGAAGAGATCTATTAAGAGTCCCTTCCAAGCCTGTGCTGCTGGGAAGAACAGTTAATTGAAACTACAGTGCTTGTTTTAATTGTGTCTGTCCGTAAGTTTTTGCCGGAATTGCTCTGTCAGGGCTGCTTCCCCCTCTGCCAGCTCTGCTCCTCAGCTGGGTGATGCCACAGTGTCAGGGCTTTTTTCAACAGGGCTGGATTTATTTTTGTGCAGTGCAGCAGGACTTCAGAGCTGCACAAAAAATAACCCCTCAGCCTCTTTGCTGCAGAGAGACAGGGATCTATCCCTGGAAGTGTTCAAGGCCAGGTTGGATCAGGTTTTGAGAATCCTGGTCTAATAGAAGGTGCTCCTGCCCATGGCAGGGGTGTGGAATGTGGTGATCTTTAAGGTCCCTTCCAACCCAAACCATTCTGTGATTCCATGTCTGGCACTTCTGGCCTGGAGCTTTGTCTCCAGCCTGTGGAGCACGTACCCTCTGAGCCAGCTTTTTTGTTGCCCTGGAGGAGAGCAGCACCTTGGCATGGGTTTGGTGCTCAGTAATGCAGACCCGGGGCCCAGCTGAGGCCGTTCATCTCTGCAGCACCGAGATGCATGAGCTCAGAGACAGTTTGAGGGTCGGGCACGGGGTGTCTTGTGTGGCAGGTTTGGACTCGGTTCGAAGCAATTGTTGCCCGTAAACAAAGACACAAACCAACAGAGTGCTGGTTTATGCGGTGCTTTATTCAGGGCCCGGGAACCTGTGGGCTAGCGCCCCAAAACCAGGAATCCGAAGACCCTCGTTCTCAGTTCAGCTTTTATACACAAACAAGTTTACATTAGTTCCCACGGCAAAATTGCTAGTTCCCATGGCAAAAACAATTACAGTTTCTACAGCAAACCAGGTGCAGTAGTTTATAACAATTAACAATCATCTACTCTAATCATAAATCTGCTTAAGTTGTCTTACCCCTAGAAACTGTTTAACAGACCCTTACCACATCTAAGGTACAAATCGTTATGTACATGCTTGACCAAATCTTTTGATTATTGTTTCTACTTCTTCAGCACATTCTATTCCTACGAACAAGGTTGTTGCTTAACTCTAAAGTGTTGCTTTCTAGGCCTACCCTCTTACTTAAGCCTTAGCCATTCTACTACTAAATTTAAATTGCTTTGCAACACAATGGTGTGTGTGTGGAGGGGCAGAACTGCCACGATGGAGAAGGGCAGTGGTGTGGTGGCAGCTCCAGTACTCCCACCAAGTGCTGGAAGCACTGTCAGTGCTGACACTGGAGCAGAAGAGACAGGGAAAGATGGGATAGTAGTGATTAAAGTGATCCCAGCAGACTGGTGTGATAAGGAGCAGTGTTAGAAGAGAAGCCCAAGCCAGAAGCCGGATTAGCATGTGGCAAACCCGGGGGCAGCTGCAGCAACGCTGGAGCTGGGGAAGGGATAATCCTGCATGGGAACAGGCTGGTGGGAGGGAGCCAGGGCTCATCACCACAGGCTTTAGCCCAGTGCTGTGCCAGAGCTGTGCTGTTTGCCAGGCTGCTGTAAAATAAAGAAAGCCCAAAGAACAGTTTGTGTTGAGAAATGCAGTTTGTGTCAGGGAGGTCGGACACCAGGCAGATCTGTGGGCCCCGTCAGTGGGGGCTGCTGCTCCAGGGCTGATCTGTGTGGGAGAGCTAAATGCTGAAATTTAATAACTGCAGAGGCAAAGTTAATGAGTGAAGTTTATCTGTGTTCTGTGTTAGTCTGAATCTCCTCGTTTGGCTATTTCTTCCTTCAGCTAAACAGTTGTTTTGCCTTTCAGGAGGGTCTGGCTGCTGTTGTGCTCTGATAGTCACATCACCCACTCCTGGCATGAGGTGAATGTGGAGGTACCACGAGGGCTTTGAGAGAGAAAATTCACCATTGCATTGCTGAGAGGGAGGTGAGTTAAGCCGAGGGAGGTGCCAGCCTGGAGGGGTCAGGCAGTCACCTCCCCTAGGGAAACCACCCCTGGCTTTGCTCCCCATTTTTGGACTCATCCCTCCCCTCAGAGGAATGAAATGAGCATTTAGCACACTGAGTCCAGGCCACCAGTGTGTTGGTGCTGTGCTGGCATATGAAGGGGACTCAGTGTAAATTAAATTGAGTGTAAATTATCCTCATTTCAAAACCACTTTGCAGTGCCAAGAAAGCATAAACTGGTTTTAAGGCTACATGGGAACCAAGCTAGTTATTTTAAAAATCTGATCACCTTGAGCTTGGCACCCCTGGGAGGTTTCAAAAGTCTCCAGCAGAGTCTTGCTTTGTTTGCATGGATTATAAATGTAAATATATTTAGGCTATGAATGTAGAATGGGAAGAAAAGAAAAGATTAAAAGATATTATGCATTTCTGATTTTTAGATTCATGTTCTTCCTCATGAAAGTGTGAATGACATTTATTTGGCTGGCTGCATAATCCATGTTAACAAGACAATTAGTATGTGCTGAAAGTTATTATTTTCCTCGGCACGTCAAAGTCATGACTGTGCTGGATTTGGAATGGAACCTTACTCCACTTTTTCTTTGTGGTAAAAGATAATATTGAATTTTTCTCTGAAGATCTTGGCAGCATGTAATTAATATTTTTTTTTCCTGCCTTAAATAAAATGGAGCAAAACACAACAACCTAACTGAGGAAAAATCTAGTCAAAAACGAACCTTTCCTCTTTGGCCCTGGATTGAGTGGATTCCGTGCTCCTGGGAGGCAGCAGTCGGACAGCCAGGGGTGGCTGCAGCTCTCTCCTTGTCCACAGAGCAGGGACAGGAGTAGCAGAGGCTCTGTGGGTTTCTCAGGCATTGAAGGGGGAACTTCACTGGACTTTGTCACCTCTGTTGGCACTGACCCAAAAGCATTCAGGTGGCAGAATCTGGAGTTCAACAAAACTCCCAATTCTGCGTTAAGTGGCTGTGTGTGACTTAAATTAGAGCACAAATCCTGTGGGCACTGCTTAGTTCTGTTGTGTGACTTAAATTAGAGCACAAATCCTGTGGGCACTGCTCAGTTCTGTTCAGGCTAAGCCAGGTCTCCTGTCAGGTGCTGCAGGTTTCTTCTGCAGCGAGACTCCAGCTAGGTTACCAAGGCTGGTGTCTGTGTATAATAGGGGACTTATAAAAGAACATTTTAGAGCAGTTTATAGCACTTTTCTTTTAACTTTTTCTGCCTTTCTCCCCCTTCCACAGGCTGTGGCTGTGTGAGCCACACACTGCTGAGCAGGGGTGCTGCTCCTCTGGCCCCAGCAGCTCGTGCTTGGCTTCAGAAAGTTTTGCAGCTACAGTTGAATTTTAGGCTTTTACATCAGAAAGACATGAAATGTTGAATTTCTGAGGTCCTTTGGTATCTGCATTCAGCCAGCCTTGGAGGAACACAGCCCCTCTCTCCCGTGGCTGGGTGAGGTCTGAGCTGGAGGCAGGGGAAGAGGGCAGGGCTCGATGTCTGGAGTTCAGGGTAGGGCTGGGGGCAATTATTTGAGAGGTGCTGTGAGCAGGAAGATGTGGGGTTGCTGAAGAGCGTGTGGATGACTCCATCTTTCAAATTTCCTGTTCCTTTTCAGTATAGGACTCTGGGTCCTTGGTGGAAATGAAGCTTGTCTTGGCTGAGGAGTGGAGGCAGCTGAGGCTGGGAGGAGGCAAACTCAGGAAATGCAGAAATGCTCCATTTTAGCTTGTCCATTTCTGTAGTCCATTATCTGTAGTCTGTGCTGTTCCTTCCCATGACACTGCCCAGAGTAAGAACAAGGTGGTGCCATGGAAGGAATGAAGGCTGAGCAGTGAAGGAATTGCTTTATGAGCAATTGTATCAAAAGGGAGACAGAGCAGACAAAAATAGGACAAATGGTGCTGGGTCCATCTCTAGTGAAGCTGTGGACCCCTCTCACATGCTGAGGGGGTATCTGGTACCCAAAGTGATGCTCATCCCTCTGGGAAATGAGGCTGCCAGTGGTGGGGCACAGCCAGGGAGGTGAGGACCATCCTCGTGGACTTGATTTCCAGCTCTGCAATTGGTCTCCTTTGGGCATCACAGGTATCCCTCTGCCCTGACTTCTCCACATGCAGCAAGGGCAAGAGCAATTTTCTACAGAGAGAGACTGATTAGCATCTGTGAGGCAGAATGATGAACGCCCCTGGAAAGACAAGGAATAATCAAGCATGAGGGCTGGAGGGGTGCAGTAAATAAGGCAGAGGTTCCCTATAGAATGAGGATGAATTAAAGCACTGAATAACTCTCTAGTTCCCCAAGCAGTGTCTGTCTTGAGCTGCAAAAGAGACAGGGGTCCTGTGGATAAAAAAGTGTGATTAAATCCCAAAAAATCCTTCATCCAGGCAAGGGGGAGGAGGGCACAGCAATTAGTGAGGAGGAAGCCCAGCAGGAGGAAGGGAGAGGGCAGGTCTGCACATCCAGAGCTGATCCCACCAGCCCAGGTGCTCCTGCTGCCCCCAGGAGTGTGATGGGTGAACTGGGGCCAACTGGCTTTGACAAATAGCAAAACTGGCAGGAGAATTGATGTAAAACTTCAGAGAGGTGAAAAGATTTAGGGTTAAATATGGAAAATGTAAGTGTTCCTGGCAGCACAGCAATCTTCCCAGCCATATTTCAATTTCCTGGGTGAGAGTGTTTTATTTAGAAAGGTCACAGGTTTTCCTGGCCGGCCACCATGGGTCTGTGGCCGGGTTTGCCCCTCTTGAAACACGGAAGCACGAACAGAATTGCAGCATGTGTTTTCTTCTTATTCAAAACCAACTCCTTTATTGGTCTTTCCCCATCTCCCTGCAAATTGTTTGTTGATGAGGGGCTTTAATTGCTCCAGAGCTGGTCCTGTGGGTACAGCTTAATTCCTGTGATGTGACACCCCGGTGTCTCTGAGCTGGGCTCACTCCAGACCGTGGTGAACTCATTTAAGGCATTAACTGTGGTGGCAGCAGGCATGAGCCTTGTGAGAAATGCTGGTGGGTGACATGTGCACATCAGCCCCAAAGAAAGGTTAATTTCATTCATCAGGAGATGCAATTAAACCCCTGTAGCTGGGAGCAGTTCTTCTGGGCTATACCACCTATTATGAGCATTTCAGGAGCCGTGATTTCTGTGTTTCTTCTTGCTGTTCAAACACTAGAATAAATTAAGCTCCAACAACCCTGAACGTAAATAATTTCTATAACATTGTTTTTTGGTCATATCTTGGCCAATCACTGTTATTATTTTCATAATTATGCCATTCTCCATCTGCTTGATGGAGTTAATGTCTCACTTTGTCAGTCACTGGCCCATCTTCCTTTAGCATTTCAGTAATAGGCAGCCAGAGTACACAGAAATTAGGCCATTTTCCAGGCATTTAAATGACAGCTTTAGTGCATGTGTGTTCAATTTTGTGTGCATTCGTTGACTGGCTCCTCAATTCTGCCTCATCAGGGAAGATGCAGGAGGGGCTGAATCCTGCATCTCACCACGCTGTGATGCAGCAGAGTGGGTCTGGTCCCTCTGGCTCATCTTCTCCCCCCAGAATATGATACTCCTCCCCGAAAAGCAAAACCAAGGAAAGCCCTGTTGGGGCATGGCTACAGGCAGACAGGAGGGTGCATGAGAGAGAAGCAACTCTCATGCACACATGAGCTGTGCTGCCACATGAGCTGTACTTTGCAGAAGCCAAGCCCCTGTTTTCTCATTTAGGTGATAATATTGATAATTATCAATTATCATTGATAATAGCCTGTGGCTACTGGTAATTGCCCCCACCCCATCAAGAAGTGGGGTTGGGGTAAAGTGCTGTCATGTGTTTGAGTGCTCCCAGAAAGGACCAGCTCTTACTGCCCCACATTTTTTAGGTAGAGAACAGCCCACTGTGCTTTTCTTTCTCCTACATTTTCTGTGATCCAGCCTTGTCATTCAGGAGTGAGACAAAAGAGAGGGCAGTCCCCTGTCAGGGACTGCAGGCTGGGGACCAGTATTAAAGTGCACTGCTAATCACAGAGCAGCTCAGCATTGTCTGGAAAACCCACTGGAAATCCGGGCAAGAACCCACCAGAGCAGCCCACCCTGACCTGACACCCTCCTGCACCCCATCAGTGGTGCAGGGCAGGCAGGAGATGCTCCTCAGCCTTGTAGCACATTAGAGGGGACATTAACAGCACCTCTGAGCTTACTGTGTGGGTCCTGAGCATGGGCAGGTTCAGATGGACTCAGATTAGCTTAGATATTAGGGAAAATTTCCTCACTGAAAGGGTGGTCAGGCATTGGAACAGGCTGCCCGGGGAAGTGGTGGATTCACCCTCCCTGGAAGTGTTCAAAAAAATATGTGGATGTGACACTTGGGGACATGGTTTAGCTGGGTTAATGGTTGGACCTGGTGATATTACAGGGCTTTTCCAACCTAAGTGATTCTATGACTTTATGAACAAACCCAAGGGAAACTGCAGTGTGGTTCAGCCTGGTCATTCCAGCACAGCTCAGTGGGGCTGTACAAATCCTGCCAGATGTGATGTCTCCCCAAAGCTCACTGTGGTGGCTGAAGCACAGAACCAGCACAGCACCCAAGCTGGCTCAGTTAAAGCTGGTTTGAGTGGTTCTGCCCAGACATTCCCTAAGGGAGGAACAGTTAATTATTTGTTCTGCACAGCAGTTTGGATACCTGTAAACAGCCGTGCCTCCTGCTCAGTGCATCCGTGGTAATGAGCTGAGGCCGTCGCCTAATTAATATTCCAAATATTCCCAAGTTAGATTGATATACTGTAAATGAACAGTGTCAGATGACAACAGAAATCAGATAAGGAGCAGCTGGAAGTGATCTGCTTGTATTTAAGATCTAGCACTGCTAGAAAACTGCTTGTATTACCAGCAACTTGAAAAAAACTTCAGGGATTTTCAGAGGTGCTATTGATGATGGGTGAGAAGGGGGGGCTCATCTTCTTGCTCCCCAGTAGCCACTGTGAGCAGCAGATTCTTCATTAGCACAAGCCATGATCACTGTGCAGTGTGGTGCCAACCACGTTCATTAGCTGAGTGTAATTGGCCTGTGGTTTGGAAATTGCAGGCAGGGTTAGGGGGCAATTTCTGAAATTCATAATGCAATGAGGAGCTGGGTAGCTGAGCACAAAGGTTTGAATTTCAAGTGAGGACGCTCCAGCTTAATGAAAGGTAGGATTTCTTCAGTGATTACTAAGGGTTAAAATTTGCAGGTTTCCTGAGCAAACCCAAAAATCACAAACTGCACCACCTGCATCCTGGTGACAGATTTGCCTATTTCTCATAGTTATTATCTGTCTTGGCACAGGGTTTGCAGTTCATTTTTGTCATGTTGCTTGTAGAGTGTGGTTCTGGTTCCAGATTTCTGATCACTAAAAGATTATTCAGTTCAATACCGTGGTTTGTGTTGTGTGTGTTATACTTGCCTTGAACCACAGTCACGTTATTTACTTCACAAGGAGGTACTGTGTCCCCTTCACACTGAGTGGTTAACAAAAGTTTGAAGGCTGGCTGATTTGTTTCTGTCAGGATGAGAAAGCAGTGATATGTAGCAGCTACGTTTTATGTGTAGCCTTTTTTTTAATCATTCACACACACACCAAAAGGAAAATGCACATCTGTCTTGTTTCCTTATGCACAATGGAGATAATTCAAGCAGATTCTCCAGCCAGAAATCAACATGTCTGCTACACCAGTGAGTGCTGTGACCTGAAAACTAAACCTCTCAGGTCCCATATATGTGATTTCTCTCTGCTTTCTGCCCCTGGCCCACACAGCACTGAGCAGGAGGGCAGAGCTCTGCCCTTTCCTGCCTCCTGCCCACACCTCCTGCAGTCCCCCAGACTGCAGCATCCTCCACTGATGAAGGTCCTGACTGGCAGAAGGGCTCCCTGACAGACTGGCCAGGCAGTCCAGATTGCCTGGCAGAGACCAAGTTTAAATCTGAGTGTCTTAGAAAGTCTTCAGGATGCTTTTGTACCAGATCTTGGAAAAGGCAGCTGGAACAGGTTGTTGTCCCATATGGCCCCGTTTAGAACACAGGATTTCTTGTCTCTCCACAACATGACCAGCCCTGAAATATACTGGTTTAGCATCATTATAGGCTACTGAGGACTGCTTTTCTTCTGATAAAATATATTCTGTTCAATAATGAATATATATCTACTCTGTTCAGTATGTGTTTGGCACTCGTGGGTTTCAGGGGTCTGTGACTGTTCCTGGGTCCAAAATATATCTGGTAGCAGCTATAAGCCACCTGGATTGCAGGTCCTGTTGGGAAACAAAACAACTCTTCAGTCATTTACAAGGCATGGCATCAAAAAGAGAAAATATATTTTTGGTTTGGATGAAGAACCCTTGCAGAAGGGAAACCTCTATGAGAGTAAAACTCATTGCAAAACAGGAAGAGGAAAATATTCCTTTTATGAAATGAAAACTCCCTACTGTGGAAAACTATTGAGGCAAGTAGATGAGTAAGATTATGAAAAGGATTAGATATGGATTATCCAGGATTAAGGCAATGAACTCTCTTGGATAAAATTCACAAGTGGTTTTCATCCTGGTGTCTTTGGGGTCCAAGATAAAACTGTTATTTCTATGTAGAAAAAAACTCCCCTCTCCTGCATTGCAGGGTCCAACCGATTGTTTGTGTTTTCTCCTTTTTGTTGTTAAAAAAAAAAAACACAATTCCCAAATTGAACAAGGGCTGAGTGTAAGTGAGAGGTGAAACAGCACCTGATCAGATGTGATGGAGTTGAATATAAATTATGCACATGGGGGGAAAGAAACCACAGTGTTACCTGTATGTGTACACATACATATAAATATAAATACATATATGTGTGTATATACACTCTGGTGGTCCTTGACCTCATTAGACACCTGAGGAATGTTGGACTTATGGCAGAGAGTCCGTGTGGAAGTGGAAGTTTGGTGAATCAAACAGGTGAATTCTGTGTGAGGAATTACCAAGGAATAAAGAGAGAACAAACCAGAAGATTTTGTTACAGCACTGAGCAAACCATCACCTGGCTCCCTGCTGCAGGATGTCCCTGGCAAGAGCCAGGAGCAGCTTTTCCCCAGGGACAAAGAGCAAAGGAGCCAAGGAGTCCAACCTGGAAAAGAAAAGGTGGAGGGGAGGTTATGACACAGCTTGAGAAAATCAGGAGTGGCTTAAATTGGGAAGAGAGGTTTGTTGCCTCTTCTAAACACATGCAGATCCAGAGCTTTAATCCACAGCATCATCTTTGACAGGGGTTTGGTCTAAAGGAAGTTTGGAGCTGCAACAGTCCAGGCTATCAGCTCCACCCCTGTTTCTAATAAAAGAGCTGTGGTTGTAGGCAGAGAAAAAGAGTTTTCAGATGTTGCTGCTACTCTCAGCGGGGTGTAATAGAAACTCATTATCATTCACAAGTCTAACTTAATTACATTTTTTCTTGAAGGATTTTATGCCGTCTCAGTGGGAAGGGGGGCTCATCTACATACATTCAGGGGCTGTCTTCTCAGACCTTAGTAATATCTATGGTAAATGCCTAAGGAAGGTGGGGAATTACTTTAGGACCTTCATTTGATCAATGCAGGCTGCAGCATGGATCCACCAGACCCACAGGAAACATTATCATGCCCAGTATCTGCACTGGTAGACAATGAGATGTTACCTTGCTCCTTCTGCGTTCGTTGCTTTCAGCAGACAGTCACAAAATCTGAAAATTAGTGATTTCCTCATTGGTCAAATCTTGAAGGATTTTCTCGGTTTATTCTTAAATTTCCTTTGCAGAAGGAAAATTTCCTCCACAGAAGGCTCAAGGAGTTACTGAAAATTGAAAGAGCAGAAGAAAAGACGCTGAAATTCAACCCAAGGTGATCAAAGCACTCCTTGGTTAGCCATGGGTGATGTCTGAGGGTAACCTGGCACTGTGTGTGTGGGGTGGGGGTCCTTATCTCATCGTGTGGTTAACCAAGGGGTGCAGCAGACAGCTCTGGGGAGCCTTTCTCCGAGGCCAGCTCCTCCAAAGGCTGCCTTCTGCATCCGTGCCCTTGCTCCAGGCACGCCGTGATCCACGGGGCACATCAGAGAGCTGGAAATACCTGAACACAAAACGCCTTTGAGCGTTTTATTCACGGGTCAGCTGTTGTGAGGGTCAGCACCAGCTTCCCAGGGCTGCTCTCCGGGTCAGCCTGGGAGGGCTCTGCAGCCTGACCCCGGCCCAGCAATTAGAGCTGCCTGGCGGGGTGGTCGTAACCTGCACAGTGATGGGTCAGGGAGGGTGAACTTCACGGGCAGGCTCCCGAGGTGGGAACAAAAAAGGAGGTGAAAGGAGGTGAACTCAGCCACGTAATTAGCCGTGTAATTAAACTTTCTCCAGGGCAAGGAGCTCCGGGCCAGTTTTGCCTCCTGTGAAACGCGGCAACGCCTCTGACACCTCTGGCTGAAGAGAAATACAAGCAGTGCCCTGAAGTGCTTCCACAGGTAAGGAAGCAGTTGTGGCTGCAGGTTTAGCAAATGACTTCGGGGTTAAACTGGGAGGATTTAGTCTTTGCTATGACATAGGGGGTTGCCTAGTAATGCACGTGGCCCCAGTGGGGGACAGAAAGGCTGAAACAAAGCAAAAGTAATTAAACAGAAGCAAAGCAGGCAGCACTTCTCTGCTGATAACCTATGCAAACGACAAGGCTTCTTGTTTGGACAATCAATAAACCAGCCCATTTCATTTTAGTTTTGTGTGGTTGCACGTACTGGCTGTATTGTGATAGAAACATTGCGAAGCATCGATTCACAGATACAAATATATCTGGGCTGCTTGTGGTTTATTAAGAAGATCAAGATAAGTTCTGCATTATTGATCAAACCCCAGAGGGACACTTCCTTTTTTTTTTTCTGCTTGTCAATGAAATCCCACTGTAATTATTTTTTCCCTTTTCTCATTCTTCCTTTCCTCTCACCCCTCCCTCATTCTCTGGGGATGCAGTAATGAAGTAAGCACAAAAAATGTCAGTCAGGACTGGCAATGGGCAGGAGAAGGGTCACAAGCAGAGACCCTGCAAGGAAAGTGCATTTCCCAGTGTGTACAGGAGTGCTAATGCTCTTCATCGAGGCTTAACAGGGCCAGAGGCTTAACAGGAGCTGAAGTAGCCTTTTTAGTTTGCATTTTAGAAATCTTTCACTGTGGATATAAATCTTTATTTACATCATAATCAGGCCTGCCTACTGGGTCCTATGTAGAGCTGGATTTACCAAGCACAGGGATTTGCTATGGGAGAGGGAAGAGAAGAACTGGTGGTCTGCTAGCAGGAAGAAAAAGGGAATATTTTCCCATGGTCCTGCAAATAGACAGCTTGAAGTGTGTATATCAGTTATGACCATGGTGCAACAGTTTTTGGGACAAGCATAGAAAAGACATTTCTTGGCTCTTGGCTGGACAGAGAATCTTTGAAACAAGAGCAGCATTCCCTTTGGCAGGGCTTGATTCGAGTCCCAGATGAAGCTTTGATCTCCTGTGTCCCTCATTTTGTTCCCTAAGTGAATCTCCCACATCAGGACCCAGGTCATACAGAACTGGGCAGGTTCCAAGGACACCTTGTCCTCTCTGCCCTCTCACAGCTTTGCTCCTCCTGTGAGCTGAAGGTCTTGTCAGCACTTCAGAGCAGGCAGACACTGCAGTTTCCTGTCCCTAATTTTTGCATGTAGCCATGGGTACCTTGGTGGTGCTCTCCTGGTACACCTGGAGGATGGTCTCCAGCTCAATGATCAGGCTGGAAAATTCCAGCTGTGCGGATCCATGGTAAAGAAAAACATTAGACTTTGGGAGGATAGGCCAGTTGTCCTGTCCTTCACTGCAGTGTCAGCCTGAAGTGTCCCAAGGGGTCCTTAGAGCAAACCACTTAGAAGTTCATGGGCCACCAAAACTTTGGGTTGATTTTCCTTCTCTTTCTGCCTTTGCTTCCCATTGCCTTCCTCTCCCAAAGACAGAAAGGAGCTCACAATTCGGGCCGTTTATCACAAACCAGGGACAGCACCAGCTGTTGCTCTACAACCCCTGGCCACATCAGTGCTGCTCTCTCAGCTCTCATGCCAAGGCCTGGAGCCTGGGGCACCATGGCACATCTGTGCCACGCTGCTGGGGCCACACAGGCAGCCAGTGGCAGGTCCCAGCTGGCCAAGAGTCCTCACGTCTCCTACTCCAGCCTCAGGGACTGTAGGATGGGAAGAAGCTTCTCTTAGTGCAGGGTTTGCTTATTCATAGCAAGTTTGCACATTGGTTATTAACATATTGGATTTAAAGTTGCTTCTGGGAGAGCAGGCTGTCCTCCCAAAGCTCCTTTGATGACATGCTTGCACTTCTCCTCGTGGTTATTGCCTCCACTGACCCGTTTCTGTCAGCCTGTCTTTGCCCTGAGAGCTAATGCTGGCCTGGAGGGGGAGGAGTGTGGATGCCATGTGCATTGCTGCTGGAAAGGTGATGCTCCAGCTTGTTGAAAACCTCCATTCCCATGGACCTGCTTAAACACAATTCAAATGGCTGGTCCACTCAGAGGGTCGGGGACATGTTCCCGTCCTTTATATTTTTCTAACGACTGGATGATCTTCAAGGTCTTTATTTTTATATTTCTAACAACTGGATGATCTTAAAGGTCTTTTCCAACCTAAACAATTCTATGATTCTATATTCAATATTCAGTATCTTGTGTTCTCAGCTCATTATTTCCTTCTTACACCCCGTGCCTGCTGAGGTTGCAGCCCTGGGCTTGGTGAGCCCTCAGAGCTCCCATGTGTGGCCCTACCAAGGGCTGCCTCTACCCTGCAGTTGCTGCTGCTCCTCCCGCTGCCTCTATTTGTTGCTCAATTTGTACAGGCTGAGTTTTCCCACTGCATACATCCCACAGCCCCATAAAATTTGAAAGACTTGCCTGGGTGTAATTGGGTTGTGTTTTGTTTATATAACCACAAGAACAACACAGTCGAGGGAGTAGGAGAGCAAAAAGTTGAGCGTAACAGAGTTAGGAAGAGGCCAGAATTAAACTGGTTTGTACTTTTGCCTTGTGCACATACCTGTTACGACCATCTTTAATTGCAGGGCCATGTTTAAAAGCTCCCTGTTAGCATTTCATGTCCTCACTTGGAAGATGAGATGCTCTTACCCTCCCAGGAAAAGCGTAGCTGTCTGGTTTGGTTTTCTTTTTGCCATAGGAATGACTGTGTTTGTTTTCTCTTGTTTTCTGAAACATCCAGCTCATTTGGGCTCTTTCAAACCCCTTTAGCCTGACGTAGGCACTCCGGGTATAAAATTCTGACCTTGCAGAAAATTTGTCATTATAATCCAAACCAGGTCTGCTAAGGGTCACTTACTGGACAGTGCTTCTGGTCCTGATGGGGATCCATGTGGCTGACAAATACAATTTATTTACTTAGAGAAGAAAAATACAGGCAAATGTTGGAAATCTGGAGTTCCCCTCCTATTTGAGAAGTGACAGACAAGTGCTGGAGTAAACCAAGGGTCAGGAGCTCATAACATGGCCAAGAGGAATGGTGCTGCCTATCAGCCTTCTCGGATTTGGTACTGAGGTTTAAAAGGGTTCTGAGAGATTTGAGACTCAGTGGTCACTTTGGGCTTGTCCAATTGTCAAGGAAGAATGAGGCAAGACTCAAAAGCAGTTCAGGCTTTCTGTGGTTCATAACTACATTCCTGGTTTAGGTGGATGTGACAGGCAGGTAAACTTGCTTTTGTCTAGGCAAAATAACATTTCCTGCAGCAGCACCAGCTTTGCTTGCAGAGGTGGGAGAGGGCATGAATCAGAGAAGATAAATTTTATATTCAAAGGTAGTCTGGCAAGTTCTTATGGCACTTAATAGCTGGCATACTCCCACTGCAAGGGAAGGAGAAAGCAAATTCAATCATTTATGTTACAAAAGTCCCACTGCTCTTTATTATGTGCACAGATGGTGTCTCGGGAGCTTTGCTGGCTGGCAGTGCTCTGCATGCCTAATGCCAGGCAGGGAGCAGAGCTTTTCCAGCCCAGGTGACAGCGGGAAAGCTCTTTTTTTCATTTGCTAGAACCACGTGGATTTCCAACCTCTCCCATTTTTAGATTTCATTTAAACCAACCTTCAAGCAAAAAGCCAAAATATTCCTGCAGACCACGTTTAGCAGAGGTACAAATGAGAACAGATTATGCACCACGGAGGTGAGAATCTGTTGCAAACAGAACAACAAATAGAGAGGTATTGCAGGACATCTGATGGGCTGGGAAATGGAGTTGCTCTGTCTTAAATCCTTTCACACATATGGACACTTTTAAAAGGTAAAGTGGAGAATCAGCTAAATTTGTAGAAATATGTCAACTCTGGGAATGGAATGATCTCACCCAATGCCTTCTTGTTTTTTATGAAAGCTTTTCTTTTTTTTTTTTTTTTTTTTGAACAGCAACACCTTCTGTAAGAGCTGCATTTCTGCAGCTATTTATAAACAGCCCTAGACTGGCCTTTTCTAATCAGTGCCATCTTTCTTGAGCTGACCACTCTTTGCTGCAGCAGTATATCCATCACCTTGCTTTACTTCCCTGCTGGCTGGCTTTGGGATAGTGTTCTTAGTAAAAGTTACAGGAGCGTAGAAAGGTCAGATCTGTTCAGCCTCTCTTTACAAGGGCTGCACTAAGACTACCATTTACTTTAAGCAATAAAACACTCTGTAGGTTTATGCTTTCCCCCTCCAGCCTAAAGCTCTTCCAGCACTTAACAGCTATTGTGGTGTGATATACAGCACCACTAGGACACAGCAAAGCACTACCCCAGGTTCTCAGGTAGGGGAAAAAGAAAGACCACACAGGTCCCACCTGGCTATTGAAAGTCACAGATCTTATCTCAAGAAATGCTTTGGGACAGTAGAATTTAACTCCAGGGTCCTCCAGCTGACAGAATTTGGCATGGATCCATCTGATTTCATGCTAATAGAAGAATTAGTGTCAGCTGAGACATTTGGAAGCTGGTTGTTTTTGTTTGTGTGTTTGTTTGGTTTGGTTTTTTTTTAAGAAAAAATCCATAGAAGATAAATACCACTGTGCTGTAACTGAGGGGCTTTGTCCTTGGCCCTACTTGTGTAGGTTGTGTGTTTTTGAGTGAGAATGTGCTTCAAAGCAGAAGCCAAAAAGGAGAAGCCCAAGGTAGGTGGAATAAGAGCAGATATTTCACTTTCAATGCACACACCTGGAGTGCCTGTATATTGACTGTGTTGGAGGTTGGGAGTTTATTGTGTGTGACATCTATCAGGGTATGGGCCAGCTGAGATGCTGACTGCAAAGGATTTCAGGTAGAATGGCTCCTGTTGCACAACAGTCTAACTGAAAACAAAATGATTTCACCAAACCACAGTGCCTCTGAGCTGCCTTCATCTCCTACAGCTGGGCCAAGGTAAAAGTGAGTTCCACGGGAGCACAGCTCTAGGGTTCTTGATTCACCAGGGTTTGTGCCTCTACTT